CGGGCGTCTGGGGTACTTTTCTGCTGGGAGTTGCTTTTAGGCACGTAATCTGTGGGCCTTGTTTAATTTTTCCTCCCAGTTAGATTGCCGAAAACTTCCCCCAGTCCCGCCAGTGCGAGGGTTTCCTGGTGATTGGAAACTTCCTCTATTAAGACTCCCTTCCCAGGACGGGTCTCCGTCCATAGCTCTTTTGACTCCCTTATTATCGTTTATATTTTGTCCGACCTCCCTTTGAAGACAATGGGCTGCTTCTCTGGGCGCCTGATGTCCTCTGCTAGCGATCAGAAGTTGTTTTGTGAAATTTGCTCAGCGTTCAAATGTTCTTTCGATGAATTTGTAGGGGAGAAAGTGGTCTCCCCGTCCTATTCCTCCACCATCTTGGCTCCTCCCCATTGCATTTATTTTATGCTAAAAAATGTTTATATTATTCCTTATCCTCAGGGCAAAAGAATTGCAACATCTGTGGGGTTCCATGTCCTTTTCTTGCCTCCACATCCTCAAGCATATTTTTCCTTAGTGGGTGATTTTAATTTTTAGGGTTTACAGTTTATATTCTTTCTAAACAAAGAGTTTACACGTCATGAAAAACAAAACAGAAATATCCAGAAACAAGAATATTTTGGGTCTTAAAAAACTCTTGTGCAGATTATTTAAAAAGGAGAAAAAAAAAAGTACCCTCCTAAAGTTGAATAGCGTCTGCTTGCTTTGAGCATTTAAACAGAAAAGAGGAGTGAACCAGATCTCTGCTGTTACTTCGGGAAGTGCAATGATAATACACACTTGGGTAAATCCCTACAAAGAATCCCAGAGAATAATGTGGTTCAAAGTCCTGGGCCTTCTATTCAGGGACTCTGAGTTTCCACCCAGTACACCAAACAAAGTTCATGAGCCAATGAGTGCTCCACTTTCTCATCATAGAAATCAATGTAAATCAAGTGTCACTCAGACACTCAACTTAATCTCAGAGATCCAAAGAGACTCAAAGTTTACTTTTTATGAGTAAATTAATTTTATATTGTATGGTTAGCATATATTTGACTGGATTGCATTTGATTCAGGATTTGAGACTCATCTTTTTCTATCACACTGTTCCTACCTAAATGATTAGCATCATTCTTCCCATGAGGAATCCAGCTGAAGGATGTAACCATTTGCAGTGATAACTTCATGCTCTTCACTTGGGTAAACCCAATAGGAAATTATCTGACTCTGAATGGAGAAAAGACAAAATATTTAGCTTCATTAGTTGCCTTAAACATTTGTATGATTCTTAAAGTAGAATATCTTATTGACAGGGTAACATACTATGTAAGTAAAGCTTTCAGATTATAAAATAAACTTGTTTTAAACAATGAATGAAAATAATAGTGACAAAGTCTGTGGAGGTGTTTTTTTTAATTAGCAAAAATAATAATTTACAGCATCCATATTGGCCTTGGGATTAATAGGATTTTCCCAAAGTAAACAAAATGCATTTCCAAACACATGGAGGACACACATTGTTATAGTAGTCACCACATTTTGAACCTATTAAGGAAAAAAGTTATTAGCATGATGCAGTGAAAATTTCAGTGTAAAATCACGTTCTTGTACTGCCTTTCTGTTTGCTTCACAGATGTTTTGTTTGTTAGTTTATCCTCTGGTTCTCTTTGTGTCTTATTGCTTTATCTATCCAGTGGTTTCATAACACTTTTGTTATCCTGGTTATTTCTTTTCAACTGTGTACATGATATTTCCTCAGGGGACCTTTTATCTATCAACCTGTAGACTTGATTTCAGAGCTACCATTTACTATCTGTTATAGGTTGAATTGTGTCACCCCACCACACCCCCCTGAAAAAGGAATGTTGAAATTCTAACCTTCAATATCCCAGAATATTACATATGTATATAAGGTTATTGCAGATGTAATTATTTAAGTTGAAGTAATACTGGGGAAGGGTGAATCTCAGATCCTATAAGACTGGTCTTTATAAGAAGATTATCACATGAAGACAGGGACATGCAGGGAGAATGCCATGTGACAGAGAAGACATAGGTGGGAGTTAACTCAGTTGCAAGCCAAGAAATGGTAGAGACTGCTACTAAAACACCAGAATCTAAGAAGAGGCAATAAAGGATCCCTTCACTCCAGTTTTCAGAGGGAGTGTGGCTCTTCAAAGACTTTGGTTTCAGACTTCTAGCTTCCAGAAGTGTGAGATAATAATTTTCTATTATTTTAAGCCACATAGTTTGTGATTGGTTTTCTTTATCAAAGCTGTGAATAAAACAAGGCAGTCCCTGATTTAGAGTCTGTTTTGTATGTGAGAACTCACTATACCTCCCTCAACAACACAGGCCAAATGTTACTCAACATTGTAACTTTGAGGGACCTAATCTGGTTAGTTTCCCAAATTGGCCCCTTTTGATATGTATAAACACCATAAAAGTCCTTAAGTGTTATTGCTATTATAAAAATATGTGAATTTTTCAGAAGATCCCACATACATTGTTAATGCATATTGAACGTGTTTTCAAATTCCTTCTGTCTTCTCATAGATATTCTATTAGAGTGCCACTCTCTCCTTATTGATTTGAGAATAAGATTTCAATTCAAGTAAGAAACTGTGTAGTGAGGAGTTAGAGCAATGGCAAAGTTGCCTGCTCCTGTTAATTTTGGAGGGGAATGTGAGCAACAATATGATGGTGCAAAGTAAGAGGTCTCTATGAAGCACAACTCAGGGAGGGTGTGTAACTCAAGGCTTCCGGTGAGTAGAACCTAGGGATGGTGCTAAATATCCTAGAGTGCCCAGGAAAATAAAAAGAAACCTGTCCCAAAATGTCAGCAATATTAAGGTTAAGAAACCCTTTATCTCCCAACTTCCTGAACTGGGGTTGCCAGTTGCTTCCTAAACTACCTGTGTTCTTTTCTCCCTAGAAAGGGAAAGTGAGCTGACCTCAATTCAACTCACTTTGCCTTTTCATAGAGTGTAACAGTCAAATTGACCTCAGCGCTATATTGATTGAGTAAAGGGATTTGAATCAATGTATTAATGTCTCCATAGCTGGGAACCCATCATGGGTGCAATTTGCCAACAGTTTCTGAAATGTTTCACATCACTGGGGATACCAGATCGCTGAAAACTCGGTTCTGAATGTGCTGTACCTTTGATGTATATCTCAAATCATCATTTCAAAATATGGGCTTTTATTTACCTGTATACTAATACTGCCTGCCACCACCATCAGACAGATCTGGTGCTCCTCTGCCGAGTTAACACAGGGCAATTGTTCACCTGTCTTCACTGGCACTGTAAGATGTGGCCAAGAAGACAGGCTTTCAGCGTAAGAAGTCCATGTTGGTGGTAAGAAACTCAGGTTAGGAGTACTTTTATCTCAAAGTACCAGCTTGTTAGCAAACAGCTCTCCAACAAAACCTGTCTGTGTGAATCCGAAGGAGATGATGGACTGCTCTATCTGCTAAATGCCACTGTGCATAAGTCACATTTTGAGAAGCTACCTAATGCATAAGCTTTTTAATGCTGTAAAATATAGTAGCTAAAATTGAATGCCACTTAGCTCTTTCAGAGATGAATTAATGCACAGCCTGGTCAAATTCAAAGCTTTTTGATGTATAAAAACTTTATAAATGGAACTACTCCATCAGAAGGCAAAGTGTAACAAAACCTGTCTAGATGGATAGTGTGTAATTTCTGCACAGGTCTCTGTAGCAAATACATCACTGTATACCAGTCAGGAATCTTGCTCCAATAAAGGAACATAAAGATTAAAAAAAAAAAAAAAAAAAGAGCAAGTGATAGCCCCACTGAACAAATGAAGAGACTAAGCTTTAGCAACAGAAGATGATAGAAAACAATCTATTTAATCTCCAAGTGTGCCGAAGAGGCATCAGTAGTCAGCCCCAGGACTGTCTCTTGGCAACACTCATGATTCAAGGCTCATTGTCTACCTGGAGTTTAGAAGAAACCTGAGTGGGAGGATTGGTAGAGAAGTTTCACCTCCCTGAGATCACAGTCTCTCAAGAGTTTCTAGATACATTTCCAAGTGAAAAAAAGAATTTTAAGCTGTTTTCTTCCAATTAAAATTGACCAATGAAAAGTTTGTTGATGCTAATATATTTTGAAAGTCAACATTACAGAAAGAAACATTGCATTGAAAACAGTATAGAAATCATGTGGGAGAGAAGACACTATTTTGGAAAAAATAAATGAATAATTCTCTAATCCCAAAACTACTTTTTGTCTTCTGCCATCAAAGAAACAATTTCATTGGAAACTTCTCAAGGTGCATCCGTTGCCCAGATTAAGTCCAAGTGATTGTAATTTGGAATTTCCTTGTGGTAAATGAGATTAGAGAGTTTTGAAAGCAAAAGATCAACATCCTGAGTGTCAGCCAACAGGTCCTTGCCACCATTCCATACTGCAATTGGGACATTCATGACTGTTAGATCATAGATTGGAGGTGTGAGCTAAAACACAAGAGGAAAAAAATTAGAATTTTCATAAGTAAATGTACTTTAAACTCAATACTTATTCAGTGGGTAAATCAGATATCACTTAAAAAATTGAGATATAATTTATATATAACATTATATTTGTTGCAGGTGCATAACAATGATTCCACACATGTATACATTGTGAAATGATGACAACAATCTAGTTAACATCTACCACCGTGTGTAGTTTTACATATATATGCATATATATATAGAGAGAGAGAGTGAGAGAGAGAGAGAGAGACAGAGAGAGAAAGAACTTTTAAGATTTACTGTCTTGGCAAGTTTCAAATGTACAGTACAGTATTAGTAACTATAGTCTCCACACTGTGATTGTGTCTCCAGGCCTTACTTATTTTATGACTGGAAGTTCATACCTTTTGATCACCTTAATCCATTTTGCCCATGCGTCTAGCAACCACCAATCTGTTTTCTATATCTATTAATTCCGATTCTTTTTATGTTTTAGATTCTACATTTAAGTGAGATCAAATAATACTTATATGTGTATGAATAGCTTATTTCATTTAGTATAATACTGTCAAAGTCCATCCTTGTTGTTACAAGAGTCATGACCGAATTTCATAATTAAATCTTGGCAATTTAAACACTCTAAAGGTATAAGCTTCTCAAAATGGACTGAGTCATTTATTTTTATTTTGTTTGACTTCCCAATATAGTCATTGGTAAAGTAGTCAGTTGGTTAAATGAGTAGTATTTTAAATACTTGCGATTTTTATTAAATATAGGTTCATATTCTTAGAAAATCTATCAGTAGCTCCATTTCCTATTTCTACAAAATCACCATTCACACAGATTTTATTTTTATTTTATTTTATTTTATTTTTCATTTATTTTTATTAGTTGGGAACAAGACAAGGGTGCCCCTCTCACCACTACTATTCAATATAGTTTTGGAAATTTGGTCACACAGATTTTAAAGAGATTCATAAAGCAGGCCAATGGGACAAGAAATAACTAATAATTATCCCACTGTTCACAGAAAATTTTGTTAGTTTTTAAAGATGATATTCTTAAAAATTCTGATTCAATACATTAAAATTTTTTCACCCTTATGTAATAGCCAATTCACAAAGAAATGTTTTATTATATGTACTTTTTTCATAGTATTTTAATACTTTATTGTGCTCCTTTATATGTTAGATAGAAGGGGAAAGTGTGGAAAATATCCACGAGNTACAAAGCTACTATAAACTATTGATCATTTTCTCTCTTCTGGACATTATATCCATGTGACTTATTTATTTATTACTGGTTGTTTGTACTCTGTCATCCCCATTTTATACAGGAGAACATAAGATTAATAAATAGTCAGAGTCTTGATCTAGTGAGAACTGGATTGCAGCTAGAATCCTGATCCAAGCCTCAAGAGTCTGACTTAAGGTCTAATGCTTTTTTTTTTTTTTTCAAACCCCTCTCTACACTGCCTGTCAGAAATTCTGAGTACAAGTAAAAAGTAAACATGCTCTGAATCAGTGCAGCCAGTTAATATATTCAGGGTCATCACACAATTTTACATTTTGAGTAAAAGTTTTACAAATAATGTTGCAGGTAAAAATCTTTTAGGTTTTAGATATCTGTGTTAGTTTAGCGAGAAGAAAATGAACAGCACACACCTGAGTGAAAAAAAAATATGAATAGCACACAACCATAGAAAAAAATAGCATCACTAAATTTTGTAGCTGGAGGCAAACTGTTCTCCTAAAGGAGTGTGTGTGTGTGTGTTGGTTTCAGGGGGTGGGAGAAGTTGGTGATTAAATTTTGGATAAAGGAAAGATTATTAAATCCCTAACATATATGCCTACATTACATCTACAGCTATTGAAATCTATTCTACTACCCTATGAAATCCCTGTTTAAAGAAAGAAGACTTCTTAGGAATAAGACTTGGAAAACCAAGGGTATTTGATGAGGGGTCTCCAAGTTCTTGCTTTATTTCACCACTGCTATCTTACACTTTCTCTCCTTTTCCTTTCCCTTCCCTTTCTTTCCTGTTCTTCCTCTTCCCACTTTTCATGGACCGGGTAGTTTAGGTGTCTTATTTATTTTTTTGTGTTGCTTTTAGCTCCTCTTCCCCAGGCTGAGGGTGGAAACACAGCCTTGAAGGCTTGTGAGGATACTTGGTAAAGAAACACCCACGAAGGAGCAAAAACACTCCCAGGTGTTGCTAGCACACAAAGAAATGGAGAATTTAAAAAGTGGGGATCTCTTAAACTATAATGGGGATTCGAACATGGTCAGTGCTATTCAAGATATAATATAAACACATTCATTTCCATTCTTGGATATAAACATGATTGCCCACCAGCTGTTTGTTCTCTTTCTATCACTTTGAAATCCACAAACAATTCAATATCTCAGATCCAGTTAAAGGGAATCACATACCTTGAAGAGGAAGTGAGGAATAAGTGCAAGTTTGTTAAACAGGCTTTGGGTGTACTTCACTGTGGCAACTGGGGCTAATGCATAGAAGACTTTGATTTTTTCAGCCAGTGTGGGATTGGTAGAAAAGGCGATAAAACCTGAAACAGAACAAGGAATATATGTAAAGGTAGGAATGTGTGTGTGTGTGTGTGTGTGTTTTACAAGTATGACATCATTACTTTGGACTCACTAAGGGTGCCATCTGGGACAACCTGAAATCAACAAAATGGTCAGATTTTAGTATATTTTGTTTTCATAGATTCTCGCTGGGACATGAGGTTTGCTGTTCTTGTTTAGTTGCTAAGTCGAGTCTGACTCTTGCGACCCCATGTGCTGGGCCCGCCCGGCTCCTCTGTCCAAGGGATTTCCCTGGCAAGAATACTGCAGTGGGCTGCCATTTCCTTCTCCATGGGATTTTCCCAACCAGGGATCTGACTCACATCTCCCATTTGGCAGGAAGATTTTTTACCACTGAGCCACCTGGGAAGCCCTGGACATGAGGTTAGAACTTTTCAAAAGTTACGTTTAACTCTTTTATCTGACTTTTGAAACCAGGCCAACTTTAGAATAATCCTGTGGTAATAAAAGTGTTATAATTTATATTACAGCAGGTTTGGTTCAGCTTAAAATGATCTCATCTTATAACAATGAGATAATTAACATTTAACATGAATAAGGTGTATAAGTGGAAAGGTTAAAGCACAAATCTGAAATGTGTTGAAACAGAGTTTGAAACTTAGTTCTGTGGTTTATTAGCTTTGTGACCTTGGAAAAGAGACCTAAACTCTAAAAGTTTTAGTTTCCTCATCTAAAAATAGGTATAATGATGAATACTTCCTTAGGTTGTTTAGGAAATAATTAAGTTGAATCATATAAAATATTTACCAGGAACTAGTCACATAGTAATGCTTAAAAAATGAGTAGCTGAGATAATTCCAATATTTGTATACAATATTCTCAGCCCCATCTGCTTTTAATTGTTTTCATGAACAGTAGCATATCAATAGATGGTTCTAATCAAAGAATTATTAACTAAATTCTTTACAGTTGAATTTCATAGGACAATCTCTCCTTACTGTTAATAATGACATATTGACTAGACTTAAGAGCAGCTTTTGAAACAAAACTTCAGATTTGTGCAAAACTTAAATAAAGCAAAAAAAAAAAAACCCAATAAACAAAAAACTTTCTGGGTTATGCAACTCAGTAATATCCAGCCTGATCGCACTAGGAGAAGAACATTCTTTCCAACAGCACTCTGTTTGTTAAGGAGTTCTTTATCTGGCTTCCTAACTCTGAAGATAAGAGCCAGCGGGTCACCCAGAGTAAGCAGGAATCATTCGCGAGGAGAGTCAGTCTCCTCCCGCTAGAGTGTTAGCAGTAGCACTACTGACAGAGTGGGGGTCAGTGGGTCCATCGAGGGTCAGGAAAGGCAACTCCTCAAAAGAAGCTTAATCCCATTTTAGATGCAATTCTATCAAGGATACTTAACTAAACTTCATGTACACAGCATGACTGGTAGATGTAAATTAGAAGGCAGAACAAACAACTTCCTGAAATTTATGAGTGTGGTGACACAATGACAAACTCTCCACTGGTCAGTAAGAAGAGTGGAAATGTTCAAAATTTAAATACTCAAAAGAGCAGTAGCTTGGACTTATTTTCTATCAGGACAAGCGGTTCTATTTACCTCAATAAATCTTAACGAAATTTCTGCATTTCAGCTAAATGCAATAATTTTATAACCCTGTATCATTGAGAAAAGGTTAAGCTATGTCCAACATGTTCTGTATAAAAGCATAGGAGTCAGTCATAAGCACCCCTCTGATGCTCCCCAATCTGACTCCCTGATTTATTTTTCTCTTCATAGAAAAATGCTACCATTATCTAGCATCGTATGTATTTTACTTATCATTTTCTCCACCTCTTCCTGCTAGAGTATTAGGAGTAGAAAAACAGGTTTTAAACTATTTTTTTGCTGTTGTATCCTTAGGATATGTTATATGAGACCTATAAATAGGGTTGACTGAATGAAATAAACTGAATCCAGAGACCGTGTGGTACAAAGTTTCAGAGCATTGGTTTGGATGTCAGATTGCTTGACCTGGAATCTGAGCTACCCTACTTATAATAACTAAGTTATCACTTACACGGACTATTTCTTCTCCCCCTATTTAGCTTTCCAATGCATGCAATAGGAATAATAATGGCCTTATATCAGTGGACTGTTGCAGACATTGCATTATATAATGAATGGAAAGCAATTAGCAAGCATGAAGACCAACATGCCTACATGACCACTGGAAAAGGATCTATATGAACTACACTACTTGCTAATTGCTTTTACCTACCAATGGTGGTGCCTTGGGAATGGCCAACATAGTGTAGCTTCTCCTGTCCTGTTCTCCTTAAGATGAAATCAATTGTGGATGGAAGGTCATTTTCAGCCATTTCATCAAAGCTGTGAAGAAAAAGACAAAATTAACTAAATACACATCTTTGTTATAATTTCCATAAGTCAAACCTATTTAAGCTAAAGCTTCCTTTGAAAAATAGAAAACTGGATGCTCTAAATATTGCTGCTTACAGACTATTTGAGTGTTAGGGGCTCTTTGGGGGTGACTTCATGTAAAGGGCTGACATTATTTCTAAAGCATAGTATGATATCTGCAATTTGATCCAATTTGAAACACCATAGTATTTGTAGTTGGGGACTGCTTCCATCCCTGAACCTGACTGTCAGATTTAATAATGACTTGTATTTAGTGTTCTACTACTATGTAATATGAATAATTTTTCTATTTTATTCTTTACAAGTTATCCAGAATAATTTTTTGAAAGTGAGAACAGGCTATGTCCACCCCTGTTAAAACCTTCCAGAATCTTCTCATTACACTCAGAATGAGCTCCAAGGCCCTCACCGTGACCTACACAGCCCACCCTGATCCGGGCTTGTCAGCAGCTCTAGTCTCCTCTCCTCTTGGTCTTCCTCTTCTTCACTACACTTGGAACAGACCAGCTTCTTTTTGGTTCCTAGAATTTTTAGAGCACTTTTGTGCCTCAGCTCTATCAACCAACTTCTCTTCTGTTCTCCACTTCCACTAGTAATTCCTGGCAATAAGGCACAAGAAGGCCAGTAAGAGAAAATCTTTAATAATCTCTCTATGGTGTCTCAATTTCATTTTCTCCCCCTCCACTTCATTATTGCTGATGAGAGATGTTGTCCATGAATTCTAGCTGGGTTTAAATCCATATGGATGTTCCTTTAGAAATTGCCGAGGGCAATAAATTTCTTTGCTTACTCATTTTGCTCAATCCTTGTGGAAAAGCAGATTCAGGGAATCTCATAATAGAGGGCACTGGGATCATAGTTAGGAGGAAAACTACCCTTGGAATGAGGTGTATGAAAAATCTAAAGATAGATTAGAATCAAAGGACTTCCTTCTCCTACTTGAAGTGTGATTTGTTAAGATACAACTGGATTGGAAGCAGTGAATACTGATGATTTTTAACTGAATATTTATTTTTAATTCTCCCTTTCTTTACCTAAAAGCCCAGAATCCAGAGGAGTCTGGTGAATAGTATAAATGTTCCTGGGCCCAGGTGTTCCCTCTGCTGTTCCCCAGCCACACATCATAACCAGCATCTGCCAGCAGGAAGCCCAGGCTGTTGTGGGGCAGGTTGGAAATCCAGTTTGTGGCTGATCCAAGAAGACCATGTTGCAGAAACACAACAGGTCTCTGACCTAATGAAGAAAATTATTCAAACCTTTATAAATTCACTCCTTATTCTCAGCTGAACATGAATTTAGGAAGACCAGAATTAAACAAGCTTGTATGGTGAGGTGAATATTTCTGAAATTATCTTAATTGTCGTGATATTTTCTCAGATGACAAAATGTGTGCAACTCTATACTTTAACTTGTGTGCAGTAGGTTATATGCCAATTAAACTCAAAAAGCTATGGAAAAAATTATGTCATAAGGAAATTCAGCATAATGTTAATTAAGTGGGTCTGCTATTCAGGGACTCTGAGTTCCCACCCAGCACAACAAACTAAAATCATGGGCCAGTGTGCACATCATTGAAGCCAATGTAAATCTGGTGTCACTCAGACCCTCAGCTTAATCTCAGAAATCCAAGGTGGTTCCAGGATTTTTCTTTCCCTGTGAGCAGCTTAATCTCATGTTCTATAATTAGAATACAGTTGACTGGAATGTATTTGATTCAAGATTCGAGACACTCATCTTTTTCCCTCATTCCAGTCCCCCCTAAGCTTCCCTGGTGAGTCAGTGGTAAAGAACCTTCCTGCCAACACAGGAGGTGTGGGTTCAGTTCCTGGGTGGGGAAGATCCCCTGGAGAAGGAAGTGGCAACCCACTTCAGTATTCTTGCCAGGATACTCCATGGACAGAGGACCCGGGCAGGCTACAGTCCATGGGATTGCAAAAGAGTGGAGCGCAACTTAGTGACTGAACAACGACCAGTCCTACCTAAACGATTAGCATCATTCTTTCCATGAGGAATCCGATAGACCTGAAGGATATAGCCATCCGAAGTTATAACTTTATGCATCTCACTTGGGTAGCCCCAGTAGGAAATCATCTGACTCTGAATGGAGGAAAAAAAAAATTAGCTTCATGAGTTTACTGGGCCATTTTTGTGAATCCTATTGCAAAACTTCTTATTGATTGCTAACATATATTTTGTGAAGAAATATTTTAAACTTTATAACAAAATGTATTTTAAAAGAATTAATGAGAGCAAATAGCATCAATATCTTTGGAAGTGTTGTTTTTAAAATGTTAGTGATATGAATAACTTACAACATTCATACTGGCTTCAGGGTTCTCAGCAATTTTCCCAAAGAAGCAAAATGCGTTTCCAGATATGTGGATGAAACACATTGTTACAAGTAGCCACCACATTTTCAACCTATTAGGGGAAAAACTTATTGCATCATGTGGTAAATATTGCAATATAACATGGTCATGATATTGAGCTGCCTTGCTCTTTTCTTCACATATTTTTCACTTATTACCTAATCTGTCATATCATTCTGTTCCTCATCACTTTGTCAATTAGAAGATTTTTACAGTATTTCTGTTACTCTAGTAATTTATTCAGTTTTGTACATGATTCTATTTTTCCAAAGGACATTTTATCAATCTACCCTTATAGATATTTGTTATTTATCATCTGTTATGGTTTGGGTTGGTCTCCCACTGACACCCCAAAAATAGATAAATTGAAGTTCCCAATACCTCTGGATGTCACTGCATTTGGAAGTAGAGTTATTACAGATGAAATTTAAGTTAAGATGAGGCCATCCAAGGGTAGGATGAACTCCTAATCCCGTATGAATGGTCTTCTTCTAAGAAGATGGCCATGTGAAGGCAGAGAGAATGGAAGCCAAGGGGAAAAAGAGATTACTGGCAAACTACCAAAACCTAGGAAGAGACATTGAAAGATTTCTTTATATGTTCTGGAGGGAGCATAGCCCTTTAAACTTCTTGATTTTAGATTTATAGATTCCACAAATGTAAGATAATAATTTTCTGTTATTTTAAGCAACCCACTTGTGGTACTTTGCTCCCGCTGCCCTAAGAAAATGATACACCATCTGTCAGAAAAGGGAGAGAAAGCTAGCACTCAGAATGGTTGTCTTTCTTGAAATTGTGAATAAACCGGAACTCTGTCTGTTTTGTATGTGAAAACTTGCTTTAATCCCCTCAAAATGGCAGACCAAATGTTACTCAAACATTGGCAATACAGGTAAATTTTTATAGTATCGTTTTAAAATATCTGGATTCCTTGGTGTGTATGGCCAGGAGTGGGATTGCTGGGTCATATGGCAGTTCTATTTCCAGTTTTTTAAGGAATCTCCACACTGAAAGAGACACGTGCACCCCAATGTTCATCGCAGCACTGTTTATAATTGCTAGGACATGGAAGCAGCCTAGATGCCCATCAGCAGATGAATGGATAAGGAAGCTATGGTACATATACACAATGGAATTTTACTTAGCCATTAAAAAGAATTCATTTGAATCAGTTCTAATGAGATGGATGAAACTGGAGCCCATTATACAGAGTGAAGTAAGCCAGAAAGATAAAGACCAGTACAGTATACTAATGCATCTATATGGAATTTTAAAAGATGATAACAATAACCCTAAATGCAAAACAGAAAAAGAGACACAGATGTATAGAACAGACTTTGGGACTCTGTGGGAGGAGGCGAGGATGGGATGTTCTGAGAGAACAGCATTGAAACAAGGATACTACCAAGGGTGAAACAGACCATCAGCCCAGGTTGGATGCATGAGACAAGTGCTGAGGGCTGGTGCACTGGGAAGACCCAGAGGGATGGGATGGGGAGGGAGGTGGGAGAGGGGATTGGGATGGGGAACACATGTAAATCCATGGCTGATTCATGTCAATGTATGGCAAAAACCACTACAATATTGTAAAGTAATTAGCCTCCAACTAATAAAAATAAATGA